TGTGTGGGTGTGTGTCTTCAACGATGTTTATTTTTCAATTTTAATATTTTTTAATTTTAATTTTTTTAATTTTAATTTTTTTACCTCATTAATTATTCCTTTTTCTCTTCAAATGATGAAATAAAGGAATTCACTAAAAAAAGAAAGAGCAGGAAGAAATGAAAGAGGCTTAACTAACACAGGTACAAGCAAGATGTCTGAATCAGAATTTAGAAGCACAATAATAAGAATACTAGCTGGAGTCGAAAATAGATTAGAATCCCTTTCTGCAGAGATAAAAGAAGTAAAAGCCAGTCAGGATGAAATAAAAAATGTTATAACTGAGCTGAAATCTCGAATGGATGCCATGGCGTCAAGGATGGATGAGACAGAGCAGAGAATCAGTGATATAGAGGACAAACTTATGGAGAATAAACAGAAAAAAGAGGAGACTAAGGAAAAGAGCACAATTTAAGAGAATAGAAAGTGACTCATTAAAAGGAACAACGTTAGAATCATAGGGGTCCCAGAAGATGAAGAGAGAGAAAAAGAGGTAGAAGGGTTATGGGAGCAAATCATAGCAGAAAACTTTCCTAAGCTGGGGGAAGACACAGACATCAAAATCCAGGAAGCACAGAGGACTCCCATTAGATTAAAAAAACCCAACCATCATCAAGGCCTATCATAGTCAAATTCACAAAATACTCAGGCAAGGAGAGAATCATGAAAGCAGCAAAGGAAAAAAAGTCCTTAACCTACAAGGGAAGACAAATCAGATTTGCAGCAGACCTGTCCACAGAAACTTGGCAAGCCAGAAAGGAGTGGCAGGATATATTCAATGTGGTGAATCAGAAAAAATATGCAGCCAAGAACTCTTTATCCAGCAAGGCTGTCATTCAAAATAGAAGGACAGATTAAAATTTCCCAGACAAACAAAAATTAAAGGAGTTTGTGACTACTAAACCAGCCCTGGAAGAATTTTAAGGGGGGACACCCTGAGAGAGAAAAGACAAAAAATAAAGAGACCAAAGGAACAAAGATAGAAAGGACCAGAGAACACCACCAGGAACTCCCAACTCTACAAGCACAAGCAACATAATGGCAATAAATTCATATCTTTCAGTACTCTAAACGTCAATGGACTAAATGCTCAAATCAAAAGACATAGGGTAACAGAATGGGTAAGAAAACAAGATCCATCTACATGCTGTTTACAAGAGACCCACTTTAATCTAAAGATACCTTCAGATTGAAAGTAAGGGGATGGAGAACCATCTGTCATGCTAATGGTCAATAAAAGAAAGCCAGAGTAGCTATACTTATATCAGACAATCTAGACTTTAAAATAAAGACTGTAACAAGAGATGAAGAAGGGCATTATATCATAATTAAGATCTTGTTTTCTTACCCATTCTGTTACCCTATGTCTTTTGATTTGAGCATTTAGTCCATTGACGTTTAGAGTACTGAAAGATATGAATTTATTGCCATTATGTTGCTTGTGCTTGTAGAGTTGGGAGTTCCTGGTGGTGTTCTCTGGTCCTTTCTATCTTTGTTCCTTTTGGTCTTTATTTTTTTGTCTTTTCTCTCTCAGGGTGTCCCCCCTTAAAATTTCTTCCAGGGCTGGTTTAGTAGTCACAAACTCCTTTAATTTTTGTTTGT